GAACAAAGATCCTTCTGAGAGTGACTAACAGATTATGTGTCAGATCATTCCTGTCTCTGATAATTCTGCCAGGCCCACTATATAGGAGACTTTAGGTATCTAAAGGCTGCCATTCACTCATGGTCCCTTTATTCAGGACAATATTTTTGACATATACTTCAGACATGGGAAATTTTCTCCAAATACAAAGTTCTACTGCAGTTTTTATAACTGCTTCTTATTCCCTAGTGGTGTTTCTTTTCTTTTCTTTTTTTTTAAAACTTCAGATCTACTTAAATGAAAATTTTGATAAATGTACCTTTAAATACTGTGTATATTCCAGATTGGTTCTCCCTCCCTTTTGAGTGTACACATCTGATACGGAAGGATATTGTTGCTTCTGGAATTTGTGAAGTTGAGCCTAATTTAGGGTTCCTTGAGCATGGCCAAGAAATCCAGGAGAATAGGAAGACTCATTTAGAGCTTGTGACTTGTGATCATCTTCAACAGATGTCTGTATCATGGGAATAACACATGTTAACCCAGACAGAATAACTCCTTCCAGTCATCCTGAGAGGAATTACTCTTCTTAATAGTCATCCACTTTTCTCAGAAACGCTATTAAGTTACTATATATGGATTTACAGACAATTCAAGAAAATAAGATGCTCAGAAATGAATATTATTGGCTAAATATGCACTGAGAAGTTTGGGACTTTCAGTTAGTGTTATAATTTCTGCAAGAGTTTCCAAAACTTCTGGACTTGTTTCTGAGCACAGCTTGTTTGACCTTAAAATTGGCATCTTCATTCAATGAAACCAAGTGGTTGATGAATATGTTTTCTAAATTGACTAGACAATCTAGCTAAACAACATATCCACTGTACATTCAGATACTTTTCAACACACACACACACATACACACACACACACACACACACACATATAAACTGGGTGAGCCAAATTCTTTCCTATGCATAGGTCTCTGTGTTAGGTTTCTCTGGAAAAAGAGAACCAATAAGATGGATAGATAGACAGACAACTTTATTTGTGTGCTTAGTTTATTTATTTAATTTATTATAAGAAATTGGCAGTAAAATATGAACACTGAAATCACTGAAGTTCTTTTAATAGATGGAAATTTTGGACTGTTAGCTCAACTTTCTAGAACTGAATCTCTACTACCATGACAGAAAACAAGGAAATGCTTTTCAAAAAATTGATGATAAAGGTATCTTAAGGGGACACAGGAGCTCCCAATGGTCAAAGGTAGAACACTGTGAGCAACCAAAAACCCTTTTTGAGGTAACAAAGAAAATAAATAAATAAAATAGGATCCAGATCTTACCATCTTCATGCTTTACCATCATCAGCAGACTGGACCTCACTCACCGTCTAGTTCAGCAGATCTCATCATTGTTGCAAGGAGTCTGTGGCAGATCTAGGCTCCACACTCCTAAATGACATGATTCAATAGAACAAGGAAAGAGGCAGCAGTAAAACAAAAAATACAAATAAAATTTTCAAATAAAAAAGCAGCATTGTATTATAATCAAAGGAAAATATAAATATCCATGAGTCCATATTAATATAAGTGAATTACTGAAAAATAAATAACTAGGGGAGAAGATACAAATCTTCCATTCAGAAGAATGCAAATAATTTATGTAGATACACTACTGTCAAGAAAATGGAACATTAACTCCCCACTTCACACAAGTGTGGGCTGTTCATTGTAACTTCCTCCCAAAGATACAGTGTAGAAAGAGGGTAAAAAAGTAGCTTTACAGTGTGAAAAGTTACAAACACTACCTCAGTCAGGTGATCAAGGTCAAGTGATAAATCATGTTGATAGTATATATCCTTGATGTCACTTGGTGAAAATGGCACTTTACTTCTGTGTCTTCCTCCCCAAAACCCATAATCCCAGTCTAGTCATGAGAAAAACATCTGACAAATTCGTACTGGGGGCATTTCACACAATGCCTGATCACTACCCCTCAAAACTGTCCAAGTGACAGGGAAAATGAGAAACCGTCACAGCCAGCAGGAGCTGAAAGAGATATCACAGCTAAATGCATTGTGGCATCCCAGATGGGCTCCTGGAACAGAAAAAGAACATTAGGCAAAAACTAAGGAAATCTGAAAACAGTACAGACTTTAGTTAATAATGTGTGTCAATACCAGCTGAACCACCAGGGAAGAAAATATAAATCATTATTATCATATTACTATAAGATGTAATAATAGGAGAAACTGGGTGTGAGGTATATGAGAACTCTCTGTAATAACTTCATAGTTTTTCTGTAAATCTAAAACTGTTTTAAAATATTTAATCTCTGCTGCTGCTGCTAAGTCACTTCAGTCGTGTCCGACTCTGTGCGACCCCATAGACGGCAGCCCACCAGGCTTCCCCCATCCCTGGGATTCTCCAGGCAAGAACACTGGAGTGGGTTGCCCTTTCCTTCTCCACTGCAGGAAAGTGAAAAATGAAAGTGAAGTCTCTCAGTCGTGTCCGACTCTTAGCGACCCCAAGGACTGCAGCCTACCAGGCTCCTCTGTCCATGGGATTTTCCTACCACCCTTCAAATTTGTCTGAAGCTTACTTTGTTCACAACTCTGGCTCCATCTTACCTAAGCCAGCTTGCTTTCTATCACAGATTCATGCTCACACATACACATATATATTGACTATGATTTCAGAGTCATTAGCCCTCATCACCATATTTCTCATTCTCCTGCCCCTCTTGAAGTTTGGCATAATGCTATCACTTGCCCTGTCCAATAAAATTTAAAATGCATCACATTCAGGCACAAGATGTAATAGCTATTGCTGAATTCACTACATTCCCCCTTCACGTGGGTTGTAGTTTTAGGGTTAGATTTCCTGGTTCCCCTGGTGGCTCAGATGGTAAAGAATCTGCCTGCAATGCAGGAGACCCAGATTCAGTCCCTGGGTCGGGAAAATTCGGTGGACAAGGGAATGGCAACACACTTCAGTGTTCTTGCCTAAAGAATTCAATGGACAGAGAAGCCTGGCAAGCTACAGTCCATGGGGTCACAAAGGACTGGGCACAACTTAGTGACTAACACTTTCACTTTCACTTCGATCAATACATTTGAAAATATTTTTTAAAAGTAAAAAGAAGGTTAATCCCTTATGGGAAGCATATTTACTACAATGCGTTTATTTTAGGGGAGTAAAACAAGAATATTAGGCAGAATTAGAACAGGAACTGGAATGAGTCTTTTACATCATTGGCTTACTGCCAATTTAGAATTTTAAACTTTTTAAATAATTCTCTTCCATTGTAACTATGGAGATTTATCTTCAATTATGAATAGGGAAATCATTCCTAATGTAATTGGTACTGGTTTGGGGGGTAGTTTTAGGGTTAAATTCCCTGCGTCTGGAGATAATTTGAGAGCTTGCTTTCTTTTCAAACTGCTCTTAACATTGGTTCTTTTTTCCTTAATGAGAAAGGACAAGTAGAGTGGCTAATATTTTTTCAAGAGAAAATAAATGTTTCACAAAAAGAAAAAAACTTGAAAACACATTCTGCAATAAAGCATTGGGAAGATTCCTTTTTTATGACATAATTTTAAGAGGAAAACAATCTTTTATGATCTTTATAAATAGGTTGGTTAGATATTCCTTCCACACTGATGTACATTAAAAAACATAAAAAGCATTGTAGAGAAATAGACTAATGATCCTCTTGAGAAGGTATAAAACTACCATAATGCACTTGATAGTGTGATACTCTGGGGTATCAAGAAAGGATAATTCCTTCATTTCCCCTCTCAGCTCAGTTTATGCAGGAAGCATTAGAATTTTAAAACTTCAAGGCCCTTAACCAGATGCCAGTCATGGCCATGTGTTTCCACCTTCAATGACATTCTCTGGCACCAAGTTCCAAAATCAAAATTTGTTTTATTTAAAATATATTTGCCAATTTAGAGGCATCAACATGCTTCTTTTTATTCATTAAGCACACAGACATCACTGGGCCTGAGCGTTTAACCATCGTCATGGAAACAGGACTGTCATAAATAGAAGTTAGGTTCTGCCATGTACTTTTCAAAAAGATTGTTTTACTTAAAGATTTATGTTTTTATTAAAATAGCCCATCCTAAAGGACAAATCAAAAGGAGCTTCAGCATATGATAGATTTCCCAGAAAATTATATTTTTAAAAATATATATACTTTGTATTATATGTATTACATATATAGTATTCTATAAGGCTATCCCTCTGCTAAGCTCAGTAAATTTCATATGTGATAAGTCTTACAGAGTATTTTGGTTGCCTCCCTAACAGATTCATCACCTAATATTTATTTTGAAATAATGGAAGAAACCTTGAAACTGCTTGCTTATCACACATACCAGCTCTACCATATGATCATGACTGACAATGGATAAAATTTGGAAATGCAATAGAAAATCCTACCTAAGGAAAAAGATGGAAGACTTACAAGGGGTTGCATAAGGAACTGATATCTTTAAAAGATATGAATTGTTCATTACAGCTGTACAGAAGCATGCATAATACAAACAAATTTTAATAGGGTCATAAAGATAAGTAAATTGTGCTTTGGTGATGGGAGTGTTAGAATATGATTTTTAATGGTCTAAGTTAATCACTAATAAGGATTCTTAAGTATATGTTGATCAACAAGGGTAATAGAAGCAAAATGTTAAAAAATAAGCAGAATATTTAAAAGTTTATTTATAAATACAATTTATTTTCCTTAGTACTTTAAACTCTTTAAAATAACCAAATGACAATTTTTTTCTCCACAAAAATCCATTTAAAATCAAAGGCATAATACCTAAAAATCCCATTGAGCTCATCTCTTCTCTATACAGTCAGCTATACTTTAAATTGTTGGGGTCTTGGTGCTACAGTCGGGTTTATAATTTGCAACAACACACTTTTCCTTATTACTTACAGAAAATCATTTCCACAATGACTCACTGATGCTTCTCCCTCTAATCATCTTTTCTGCAACATCTAGGCACAGGATGCATAGTGTCCTCTCTTCAGATGCCATCAGAATGACAATGAGTGAGCAACATGAGCAGATAAAGTCACAGAGCCTGTGCGACTGCCTCAGAGACCACAGAGAAGATGCTGAAGGCATCCTCACAAGTGGACACAAGAGGACTTCCAGATAGCAGAGAAAGTTACAAAGCAATTGTGGTTCATCAAGAATACAGGGGTCTGTGGAGGAGGAATTATAAATGAAGAAATTCACTGGCTGTAGACTTCGGATACCTTGCCTCTGAGGTTTTCATTAAGCAAAGCACAACCTATGCGAGTCTTTGAGATTCCTGTAGAATGAGGAAGAAAATATCTTTCTATTCACTGTTTAATTTACTGATGTTACCTGAACCCTGTCAGGTATTTTAATGTCTTAAGAAAAAAAGGAGTACCTTGGACAGTCTACTGAGATGAAATTTATAGTTGGCAAAATGTAATGTTTTTAAACACTTTAAAGTTACCCTTTGAACACTGTGATGGTTAATTCTGTTAACCTGAGTTGGCCACAGAGTGCCCAGATATTTGGTCAAACATAAATCTGCTTGTGTGACAGCTTTTGAATGAGATTAGCATCTGAGTTAGCAGACTGACTGAAGCAGATAGCCCTCCCCCTTGTGGTGGGCTTCACCCGATCAATTGAAGGTATGAATAGGATAGAAACACTGACTCTGTCCTTCAGTAACAAACTTCTTCCTGCCTACAGATTTTGAACTAGAACATTGGCTTTTTTCTTACCTTTGAGCTCAAAATAAAACATCAGAATTTCCTGGTTCTCAAGTCTTCAGCCTTGTGACTGGAACTACCACATTGGCTCTCATGGGTCTCCAGCTTTCCAACTGCAGGTCTTGGGTCTTACTTAGCCTCTATAAGGTTCTTACTTTCTGAGAGAGATAAGAGGGTAAAAAAATGCCTGTCAAATAGGTTGATCATTTAAAACTGCCACTGATTTGAAGTGCAGTGGACAACAAAAATTCTTTTTCTAGAGGAGACTACAGGTCCCAAATGGGAGAAAATTGACATTACAGAAAGAGCTAGGTTGGCTAGGACGGCTATTTCTACCCTTACAGAGGCCATCTTCTAGAAGTAGTATTTGTCAGAATAACCATCAGATATTCTCCCATGTGTTAAAATGTTTTCAGGAAAATGAAAACTGAACTATAGTAAGATGTTGAATACCCTAATTACTTTTTTCGAATATAGCATGGTATTCTTTTGATTTAGCTTCTGTGTGGGGTGCATCAGTCTTTCAATTTAATATACTATGCATAATAATGTTAATAACTTTTATATTTCCTCTGAAGGGCTGATGCTTTTAAAAAGTCATTCCACCATTTTTGTCATATGATATTAGCAAAGTATGATCGCTTGCCCTCTCTGTTACAGGAAACTAATTGCTAAAGCTGTTTATATAAATGCAAGGCTCTTTATCAAGCATGCACTTCAGTTGTCATTTGCTTCTGTTGCTGTAGCATGGCCTGCTACTGTCAGCTTCGGTCATAAAGCCTTTGAATAACTGGTAGATAGTAATCACCACCAATCTGGGTTAGATGTTTTAATTGTCTTTTCAGTCCTAGAGAGCTCTGACTTGCTCTCCATCTGCCAGCATATCTCCTTAGGCATGGGAATATCACTGCTATTGGAATATATAATTTCTCATGCAAAAATATTAGAAGTATACCAAAGGGGCATGAGATAAAGTGATTTCTATTTTAATGGTGATAAAGGACATGGAACAGAAACTGAAGGAATGGTCAAAACAATGGGGTTTCTTGGTTACAGGCAAAATTGTACAGAACTGCTTCACACTGGAGAGTGCTTTTGGAATTGAATGAGGAGACACAAGAATTAGGAATAGATTCTTAGGCTTGCAAGTAAACATTTCTGGAGAGATTTGTTCATCCATTTGTGCTGTAGAAATTGGAATGTGGCAGAACAGACACTATAAGTTGGTTTCTTCCATAGCTGAATCCCACCTCGTTAGGAGCCTTGGAAATACAACGACATTTTAAATTGGTTGCTAAGTTCTATTCATTGCCAGCACAGGGAACAAAGGTTTGGGCCAAACATGTTCTTGGCGGCAGATGCTGCCATGTGAGAGTTGACGTTATCCACACCAGATGAAAATTCTCTGTGACCACCTGTGCCATATACCATTACCAGCTCTAGACTCCTTTAGCCACTACAAAAGAACTCTTTACTACCATTGGAATTCAAAAGACTTGAAAGGCCTCCAGGAGGCACTGTAGAGATTCTGCAGTTAGAATTAAATACCTTTTAGTTGAGGAGAACCAGTTTCACACTGGTCTCTGAACTTGGAAATCTTAGCAATTTTCCCCCAGGAGATGTGGTGTTGAAATCAGATTGCTGAAACTGTGTTACATGAATGAGAGCTTAAAAAAAGATTAAAGAAGTTTAAGGCAAAGTTCAGATATATCTTTACTATCTTCCTCCGCACATTGACACAAAGGATTAAATACAGTTTAACAGAAAAGTGAAAAAATGATTTTAATAGAATACGGTCAGAATTTGGGAACTCAAGATTGTTATCTATATTCCTGAAAGTAGAATATTCTCACCTAAAATTGAGAAGTCATTGAAGTTGTCTTCATCTATAATGACATTCAGAAAAATTCTTATTTATTTTGACCTGAGAGAAGGAAAAAAAAAAAATCTCCTTAGAAGCAATATTTTATTTCATCTTTTTTCTGATTCACAATCACTCCTGATTTATTGTTAGCATCTATTGGTGGCTGAGGTTGTTAAAGACCCTGAGCTGGCCTTGTAGTATCTTTTATAATAAACACAAATTTTCTATAAAATAAATATTTCTAACTGATACTAGTACAACTGAGTTAAAAAAAATACTGATGGTAAAACCTTTAATAATTTATATATGTATGATCCAGAATTTAAATGAATTTGCTTTCTTGGTACTTACTTCTTAAAATTAAATTAGCACCAAGATGACACTTTAAGACATTGTACTTTGACAGTACTTGAAAGAGGGAAAAAGGTCTCCCAAGTGCCTAATTTGAAGAGCCCCGTGAGATTCTGAGAAATATACTTTTTGAGTACTTCAACTTATAGTGCCTTTTCAGTACTCAATTAGCATAATTTGACACAATTATAGGTATAAACATTTTATAGGCACTTGGTAGCAGGAGTGTCAAAAAAGTGTTGATCTCCATCCACTTATATTGGCAATATTCACTTGGTTCTAGCATGACACTTGAATGAGCATTGAAATATGCTCCCTACTATTAATAAAATTCAAAGCATATTTCATCTTGACACCATATCACAAATTTGACACTACGGTTCCTCTCAGTGGAATTTTGAGTCATGGAGACATCCCCTTGCTACATCCCCATCTCAACTAGATGGTAATTTGATTCAGACTATTTCAATACATGCCAATATGTATATCTCCCCTGCAAAATGAAGGCATACTCAGAGAGAAAAGGAGGTATAACTGACAGGTCAACATCATTTTTGTGAAGTGGTACCTTAGTGGTTTAAAAAAGTACTTAAATACGACTTACTTTTACCAATTCTCATTTTCTCATGCCTTATCAACAGGACTTTCAAGAGTATAAAACTGCGTGAAACAAATTGTTTTTAATTGTCTTTAAAATTTCTATTTTAATAAATTGTTTTTTAAAATTTCAATCATGGAAGAGATAATTTAATTAATTATAATGCCTTTCCAAATCAAATAGCATGGGGATTTATTGAAACAGGCAACTTCATATGAGTGTTTGGTTTGATTTTCTATTTTCTAAACAGTCCAGCATTTTTTAAATGTGTGTACTTAAAAACAGTAAGTGATAAATGTAAGAAATGTGGGAGAAAAAAGTTCAATTATTAGGAAAAAGGTGATAAAAATGATGCGATGACATTCTTCAGTTCCATTTTCTCTCATTGTTAATCATTTCAAGTTTTCTAGAGTTGAGATAAAGTCCATTTGACTTGGCACTGTTTTACCTGTGATTTATCAGCTCTGGTTAATATATGTGGCTAATAAAAATGAACTGATTCATCTTAATGCTACTGAAAATAGAAAACAAGCTCCATCTCAGTTAATATTGTTTTGGGTCAACATAATTTAACTAGTCATTCTTATTTTTTAATGGTTGCTTCTGATATTTGTACTTATTTTTAGAAATTAGTTTTTAGGGCTATATTATCTTAAATCTCCTCTATATAACCAAATTTTGCCAGAACTCAGTGTTTCTTTCTTAATTTTAAATTTATATCACTTGGTTTGAGATTTAGAATGAAAGCATTATCATAGGGGTTGTTTTTATTTAGTTCCTCTAAAAGTAGGAGGGATAAAATGAAATGAATGATATTTCTTCATACCAATAAATATGTATAGTTTTTGAAGTACTTTGACCTATTATCTCAGTTAATATCCACAATAACACAAATAGAGCAATTCTTAGAGTCAGTATTAATAAAAATATTTTTCAATAATTAGAAACTGAAAAAATACCCTTGTAATTCTGACCACATCATTGGATTATATTACACATTTTATATACCTCCTAAGGTCAAAATAATCAGCCCCATTTTGCAGATGAGGAAATAGAGGCTTGTAGTAGTTGGGTAATATGATCAAAGTCCAGACAGGGTGAGTGTCAGAGTTTCAATTTGAACCCAAGTCTCTCTGATTCCAGAGATTAAGATTTAACCCTCTACCCCAACCTATCGTTTTGAGATCAGTTCATCCAACTTGCAGGTTTTTTCAAGCCTTTATTTTTTAGAGCAGTTTTATGTTTACAAGAGAAATGAAAGTGCAGAGATTTCCCGGATAGGAGGAAGATTTCCTTTTCCTCCACACATATATCGTCTTTCCCAGGATCAGTATCACTCACCAGATGTTTTTTTACCAAGGATGAACCCACACTGACACATTATCATCATCCAAAGTTCACAGTTTACCTTAGGACCCACTCTTGGTTTTGTACTTTCTATGGATTTGGGCAAATATATAATAGCACACATTCATCATTATAACATGAGACAGATTCTTTTCACTTTCTAAAATTTGTCTATATTCTGTATCTTCATCCCTCTCCTATTTCCTCTGGAAACCACTGAATTTTTTATTGTCTTCATGGTTTTGCCTTTT